TAAATCCAAAAACCTAGAGGAAGGGATGTGATTACTTACATTGGGTTCCTTGTAAATCAGCAAAGACAACATCGACTATTGATGATCACGAATGTTTCGAATCCTAGTCTCCACGAAAAGTGTCTCAGCCTCTACTCAGTTCACTCGATTGAGAGCAACATTTAACTTTTCCCAAAAGCAGTTTTGAGAAAACAGCTGAAGATTAAGTACGGCTGCTAGACCTCACTTATCTTTAAATACCTGAGTTACCCTAACATATTAGCGTTTTGTTATTTCGAATTAATTAAACTCTTATTTAATTAATTCAAATTAAATATCCATTAAAGACTTATAATCCGAATTACGCTCTTTAATGTTTATTTAAACTCTTATTTAATTATTCCAAATTAAATATCAATTAAAAGAGTTGTAATCAGAATTATATTCTTTTAATGTTTACTTACTATATTCAGGATAATTAAAATCATATGTATATCAGATATACATATATTAACTCTAGATATATATTTCAGTAACGTACAACAAATATACATCTTTGCTAATTTCAAACCTAGGGTGTGACCTTGTAGTTTCTTGTAACATTGGTAGTAATTATTAGAACAATTCTAATATTACAAACAATGAGTGACATCTAGCAATATATCATTGTCATCTAAGTTACAAGAAATTGTGATTCAACATATTATCTTCGTGATTATCTCTTTTATGTATTACATCATTTTGTCCTTTATATCTAGAATAGTCACAAGTCTTGGAATAGTCACACTTGTATAGCCTATCTATTGTTTCTTGATATCTAGAGTAGACTATAATTAACGAATAATTGTGATATCAAGTGGTTTGTGATATATTTCCTATTATGTAGGAAGGACAAATCCTATCTTAATCATACACACTCCAATACATATACCAAGATATTCAATAACAATCTTTATAGTGCAATCAGTTACAAATTAAGCATATTTAACTGTATCAAAACATACAACAACATATGTTGAGATAGTAATGATCTCAAGTATGAGGATCATACATATAGCCATCGCAATGAGCAATGTTGTGACCGTCACATAATAATCCAAGACATATGCTCATACTGGGTCAATCCAATACATTGTTCTCTAACAATATAATCATGTATCAATTCTGACATATGTTGTTGTATCAATTCAGTGATTAGTATCGAAAGTAGCTCGATCGAAACAATAATTATTCATTTATCAATGGGCGTCAAAGCCACAAAAAAATATTAATTTCTCGTTTTATCTATTGGTTTAGTGGTTACTGGTTACTATCGAAATAACAAATTTTCATTTATTGATGGACGTGAAACCACAAAAAATAAAGTTGTACGCTTAAAACAGAAATAAATTCAGTAGTAAAGAGAACTATGATCAAATCTACATTGGACTGAAAAATAATATTTTCGGGAATTTAGTATACAACATTTTATAATTAAAGAATTATTTTATAATTTTTAATAGTTAAAAAAATCAATAAAACATCGTTTATTAAGATATTAAAGAAATAAAATTAAAATTATAGTACATATTATGATAGACCAAACTAATAATAAAAGAATTATCCTCTCAGTTAAGATGTCAGCTTCGACGTCGAAATTGATAATGAATTACAGGTAATTCTTCACTCATTTGTTTAAGAGATGGTGAACACCCCATCACTACATGGGAAGAAATGAAAGCCATTATGAGGAAAAGGTTCGTGCCTACTCACTATCACCGAGATCTTTATCATAAACTACAAAACTTGAAACAAGGAAGCAAGAGCATTGAAGATTATTTCAAAGAAATGGAGATAGCCATGATCCGAGCCAATGTGGATGAAGATAGAGAAGCAATAATGGCAAGGTTCTTATCTGGCCTAAATCTTGATATTGCTAACCTTGTTGAACTTCAGCATTATATAGAGATTGAAGAGATGGTGCATGTAGCCATGAAAATTGAATGACAACTTAAGAGGAAAACCTACAATCGGAGCAGTCCAAATTCGACCACCAAATGGAAGCAAGAGCCTATTACCTTCTGGAAACAAACTCCAGTCCAATCAAATGATCGTACAGAGGTACCCAAAATTATACAAATGGGCGAATCTATCAAGGGTAAAGAAAAGCAAACCAGCACTTTCAAGAGATCAAGAGATATCAAATGTTTCAAGTGTTTTGGAAAAGGGCATGTTGCTAGTCAATGTCCCAACTGAAATGCCATGATGTTGCTTGACAATGGAGATATTGTATCAGATTATGATGAGCCTATTTTTGATGAAGAACCTGAAACAATGCAAGAAGAAGAAACTGAAGAAAATGAAGATCATGGTGAGATGCTTGTTTCGAAAAGGTGCCTACAATCACAAACATCCCAAGAGGATATTCAAAGAAACAATATTTTCCATACAAGATGCCATGTCAAGGACAAGGTTTGCACAATGATCATCGATGGAGGAAGTTGCACAAACGTAGCCAGCACTCTTATGGTTGAAAAACTTGGATTGGCAACGTCAAAGAAAACCAGAAAAGATCATGGTAATTCATGTATTAATATCATGTTCTTGTTGCAGAAGAATTGTTTGGTAAAGATACTGACCCTCAGGAGTTTAGCTCCATTCCACAAGCGTTTGGGAGAAGGAAAATGGAAGTAACATTAGGCCAACACCAACAGTATAGATTGCAATGGTCAAGAAATGGAATGCCAAGCTTAATGGACGAGGGCGTAAACCGGAGTGCAGAGCCGATAGTCCGTATGCGAATACGCCTCCAAGTCTCAGATAATCAAAACATGCGTGCTGGATATCCTCCATTGCAGGATCAGACGAGGCACTCAGCAGCACCTTGTGCAGGAGATTGGCCAATGCGTTTATTGTGGATGACATCGACTGCAAACGCAGTTAAAGTTCAAAATTATACCCTTTTTCTTGATGTCGTTCACTTTCGAAATGTACATCAAACATGGGATTACAGTACCTTCCTCAGAGTATAAAAGGACTCGAGATATTTGCAGATGGTGAATGGATCGGATAGGTCTTAGAAGATCCCTTAGTAAAACAACATCAGATAGTGCAACTGTCACTCCACCTCCGGTTAAAGCTTGGCGCATGTTGTAAGAACCAAACCAACACTATAAGAGGGGACATCAATCTGCAAAAACCAATCGACATCTTTACGTTTTCTCAAAGCATATAATTCAACAAGATTCCCTAATAATTTTCACCTTAGGATTGCAGAGAGAGCGTCCCAAATTCGAGAAACCGCCGTCACAGATGATAGTGAGAGGAGCATAAGCCGTCAGCACTTGGCCACTCTTATCTTAGTAGTGCACTCCTTTGACAATCCCATTTTCTTCAAGCAGAGATGTCACTGACTCACTGTCCCTTGTTCTAGACTCACATTACATGATCATATCATCAAGACATGGATTTGAGACTAGAAAAGTATAGTTTTGCGAAATTTCAGATGAACGAAATCAATAGATCGAATTTACTTGTGAAGAGACTCAGCCTTCTCCCGCAACCTTTGAATGAAACGACCGTTATGGAAGCTTCTTCCGACGACATTGGAATGAAACCTTTCCAGAGGAAAAGATATGGTGGCATCCTTCCGTCCATGTAGAGAACATAACCGAGAACTCGCTGAGCATCGATCTCATCAACACATTCTGCAGTGCCAACATTCAATGTCATGGCCTAACTCTATCAACATAGTAACATTATAATGTTGCATAAAACCCCAAAAGAGAAGCTATAGCACCTGCAACTCCGACCACGTAATGGTGAACCATGGCTGAATGTGTTTGATGAACTATCGCTGCATAAGTTCCATACATGAGTGAATGAACAACAACAAACCAACTCATCAATAAGTAAAATAGAAAACAATGGAGAATTTATAAATAAATATTAAAAATTTATCGTAAACATAACTATAAATGAATACAAATGATGAAATCAAGGCTGCCATATTTGAGCAGGAGAATGACAAAGCCTGGTCCAGATGATTATTATGCTTCTTTCTTTAAATCAGCATGGGATGTAGTGGGTGATCACTAATTATCATGCTTCTTTCTTTATTGTTATTTAAACTTCAGTTCTTCTAATTATTTTGTTTTATTCAATGATGAGATAGTTAATTTTCTAACAAGATAATAGTGCCATATCTAAAGGACAAGTAGTTCATCCATGCTTATTTCTCACATCTACATTCACAACAGCTTTGACAGAGAGTTGAATCTTTCTTTGCCCTCCCGATTTTCGACCTACTAATCTGGATTGATCCGCGTCGTATATTTGGTTTTGGTGGATAAATCTTCCAACGATGATTTTCTACATACATAAAGACTTGAACTTGAGAATTTACCTCTAATCAATATCAAACTACTTATCACTTAGATTAATCCCATTAGTAGAAAATTAAATCTTTAATGTGTACTTCCAAACATTGGATGAAAAACCATCACATACATACAGTAAAGGTAATGCTAATTCGTATATGTGTATCATGTTCGTGTTACATATTTTTAATTTCAACAATGAATTGCAGCTAATGATTATACCAAATCTTATATTTCTATGGAGGGGAAGAGAGAAGAGAAACATAGGTGAAAGACCGAAAGATTTTATAATAACTTTCATGCTAATGTCAGATATAGGATTATAATAATACTTAAATTGTTATCAAAGTTATAATCTGTTAACAGTAATTTTATCTATAATAAATCATATAAGTGTATTAGAAGTCTCAAAATGTACATGTTAATGTGTGTTTTTGTAAATAACAAAAAATTAACTTTAAACTTAAGAAAGCTAGACAGATGATTATCCTACCCATTAAAATATTCACCATCTGTATATTGCTTATCAGATATACATCAAGTTAGATAGCATGTTCCATTGAACACAATCCACTATATATCTTCTTAAAACTCGAACTAAAGCAACCAAACTCTAAAACCATAGCAACAACTCGAACAAATAAGAAAATATATGCATTAATTCCACGCAATAAGCTCTACACTATAAGCTATCTAATAACAGATATGAATTATTTTCCAAATATCGAACACCGAGTCGTACACAGCAACATGTTGCTAATCGATCTTCCTTCCCAGACTTTTTATGCTCCTGCTTCCAGGTGGAGTTCTATAATATGCAGGCACAGTAAGAGGGAAGAACATTTGTCTCACTCCTTCGAACCATATAAATGGCAGAATAATACTTGATGCAACCTGAAAAGCAACAAATATAGAACAAGTTAATGGTAATAATCTGCATATTTACATCATGTTCGTGTTGCATAAGAACTGTTTGGTACAGATACCGACCCAAAGGAGTCTAGCCCCGTTCCACAATCGTTTCGGAGAAGGAAACGGAAGCAACAATCGGCCGACACCGTAAACTGACATGGCAGAGAAATGAAACGCCAAGCTTAATGGACGAGGGCATAGACCGGATAATATAGCCGATGGTCCGGTCGAAAATATACCTCCGAGTCTCAAGTACCCGAAACATGTCTGTTGTAGGTCCTCCATTACAGGACTAGATGGGGCACTGAACACGATCTGTAAGACGTTTGCCAGTGTGTTTATCGTCGATGACATCGGCTGCATTTGGTTAAAGTGAGAAATTATGTCGTCTTACTCTTGATTGACATTCGTTTTCAAAATGTATGTGGAATACGTAATGTAGTTCACCTTCCTTAGAGTGTAAAAAGACTCAAGATATTTGCAGACCGCGGATGCATCGGATAGATTATGCAAGGGTCTTATGAGATCACTCAGTAGAACAACATCAGAGAGTGCAACCGTCATTCCCCCTCCCGTTATAGCGTGCCGGGAATTGACCGCATCGCCTATCAAAAACGCACCGGGAGTCGGGCGTGGATCAGCAGCCATGATTTTGTTCGGCATTATTCTTATGTTATCCTCCTTCTCTATTGCAGAAATCAAGGCAGTGTACATTTCAGGAAGAGCCTGAAATCAATGAATCATAGTGTTACTCCATAGATTGAGCAAAATTCCCTAAAATATAACAAATATGTGGACAGTAATATTTGGGTTATGACGGATGGTTCATTTTTTTTATAATTTAGATAATAAATTATAGTTGGTGGCTAAACATTAGCTGATATATAGTTACTGTTTTCATCTAAAGTGAGAGGAAGAAGTAAAGAGGATGGGTTATAGTTGATGTCAGACATAAAATTATGATTGTTATTTGTAGTAGTTTACCTAGGTCTATCAAATATGATATCAAAAAGTTGTTGACTTCTCGAGAGATATAAGACTCTTGAGACTTTAGGTACAAAGATGTTCTCTCGAGACTTAAACTACAAAATCATTTTAAAGAGATAAATTCTCGAGACTAATATAATAAGTTTTCCTCTATATTTCTCATAAAATCAGAGGAATTGGACATCAGACAATCTACGAATAATCATTGATTATAACTCTCCATCTAAATAAAAAAATAAATAAAAATAAGCACCCTATAATTTTCATAAACTAAATAATACTATCAACACAAATGAAATAAGATGGATCCAAATACCTTGGGAGCCACCCTAGTTTTCAAGTAATGGGCCATTCCACCATCGGAAACAGAAGGTACATGCTGACTGGGTATATCAACCAAGCATCGAATTTCAGTGCTGCTAATGGGATAAAACAGGATTGGTGAAGGTTCTGCTAATATAATAGCTCCATAATTTTCATCCGGTAGCTTACAGTTCGTCAGGACTAAACCGGCAAAATGAGAAGGAATATCAACCTGCACAAACAATCAACACCTTTACATATACCTTTTCTTAAAACCATACAATTTTACAAGACTTCCTAGGCATTCTTCACCTTGGGGTTGCAGAGAGAGCGTCTCAAATTCGAGAAACAACCGTCGCAGATGACGGTGAGGGGAGCATAAGCCGTCAGCAGTTGGCCTCTCTTGTCTTTGTAGTGCACTCCTTTAACGGTCCCGTTCTCTTCAATCAGTGATGTTACCGCCCCTTGCTCTAGACTCACACTGCATTCGCATATTCACATCCAAATAAATGTCGTGATAGTATGCCGAAATTGAAGAAAGATTGAGTTGAAGAAGATGAAGTACTTGTGAAGAGATGCAGCTTTGTTCCGCAACCTTTGAACGAAACGACCATTGTGAAAGTTTCTTCCTGCAACATGGGACTCATACTTCTCCAGAGGAAAAGATAGGGGGGCTTCTTTTCCATCGTTGTATAAAACACATCCCAGAACTCGTACAGCATCAATCTCATCAACACAATCTACATTACAGAAAATTTTCAAATAAAAAATAAAGTTTGAATCTTAAAATAGATTCATCAACTCGAAAAATTCAAAAAATTTTACTCCACTCGAATGAATATTTACCTTCAAGGCCTAACTCAATTAACTTGAGGTAGCCCCCTGGCAACAGAGCTTCGCCGGCGATTCTTTCGGGTGCTTTTAAGTCCCTCTCGATCACTCGCACTCGACGTCCATCCTGCAACCCACAACCTCAAACACTCAAGACATACACAACTATTGCAATCTGCCGAACAAATAGCTATTAACAAATTTCTACTTCGAATCTATGGAAACTATGCATCATAACATATATATATTTGAACCTTTCCAAGAGAGTAGGCAAGAGCAGCACCGGCAACACCAGCGCCGACTATGATAATATCCGTCGTCCCATGAGCCTCACAGTTTCCAGTTTTGTTTGCAGAGTTTTCATTTGGAAGCTCCATGGAAGCCGATCTTTTCACCTTGCTCGGTCCTCTAAATCTCATTAAAGAACTGTAGAACAAGAAAGCAAGCCCCAAAAGAGAAGCTATGGCACCTGCAAGTCCAACTATGTACTCCATGCAGATAGTTTCTTGTTTCCTTCACGGCTTTGCTTGTTCAAAAGGAGTGATTTATATAAAATTTTTGTCTTCGCTCATGGCTTCTATCGGTGTCCACTGGGATTGTATTTGATCCACGTGTGGCTTATCTTTTTCCACCACTTGGCATTTCACTCACCGTCAAGGCTGCCACCTTTTTCTGCTGATAATCATAGTACTGATCTAGGTCGTGATATTTATAAAAAGGATAAAATACACATAGAATTGATCTAGGTTTACTACGAATGATAAATTTTTCTCCACCCCACGCAATTGAAACTAGACACAGTTACATCAAAAGGAAAGGAAGAGAAGAGAAGAGACAAAATAAAGTTTGATTTTATTTAAATCGGGAATGATAAGTCTATGGCGACCCTACATATGGTTCTCTTTTCCTTCTTTCAATGTCTGGGCTTTGATTTATCCGAATACGGTTAAAGATAGGTTTTCTTCGACGAGATTCTTCTTCCTTGAAAATAAAATTGTGACGTTGACAATCAGATATTTATATAATATATCTAAATTTACTAATAATTGATTATCTAAGTTGAGTGACTCAAACGTAAACTTACTAATAATTGAGTGATCAAGATGTAAACAAAATGTTTGTGTCAGTTTGAGTTTTAACGATACAATAACCTAATTGATTAATTACATGATTCAGTTATAATGTTTTGAAATACAATGATCTAACCGTAAACTTGCTAATAAAATAGAGTGACGTGTTATTTACCCTACTTTTTATCTTCAATTCTGCTTGAGCAAATGTCTCGTAAATTATTTGGCCCAATAAGTCAACACATATTTTAATTTGTAATCTACAATATTTTCTATAGTAAATGGTAAACTCGTCACATTAAAGTGACGAATTCGCTTGAAAATACTCTTTTATTGGTCCTAGATATACAAGTCTCATGTGAGCTAATATTTTAATATTTTTATTGGGAGTTATCACGTCAAGGTGATAAGTCCACTTGAAATTTATTTAATTTTTTATATTCACTAAATAATTTAAAGTAAGTTTTGAATTTCAAAAAAAAGTAGCCGTTTGTAGCCATTGCACAACAAGCAATTGTAATGGGTAGATTGCAACTCTCATCCTAGAACTCGTCACCTTAAAGTGACCGTTTGTTGGGATTTTAAAAAAATTAGTAGTTTATGGCTGTTGGGTTTGAGGGTATAAATAGAGGTTTGGGATTAAGATTTTTTTATTGTGTTTTGTTAAGAATTTTTTTTTGAATATTTTGAAAATTTCTAAAAAATGTCTACCCACGATGAAATGTTACGCCTCGATGATATCCATATTTCTTCGCTCAAGCTCGGTCTGAAAAAGAACGGAGCGTTTGTCAATGAGGAATGAGTCTTAGAGATCTGCATCAGTGGATTATTATATATTTGCAACAATCTAGGATGAATCCAGTGACATTTTTGCGTGGTGTTAAGGTGAACATGGCATTGATTACGACTCTCACTGAACGTTGGAGCCTAGAGACGTATATTTTTCATTTTTCAAGTGGTGAAACAACAATTACGTTAGAAGATGTCGCTTACCAACTTGATGTTCTGGTTAATGGTGCGGCGATAATGAAAACAACAATTTAACCGATTCGGAATTGTTCACCAAATTTTGGGAAAGATGTATATATACAACTGTAATATTAACAATAATTAAAGTTTGACACAGGTTAGCTCTGGAAAGAAATTATAAAACCTAAAATTATTTGGAAAGAAAAACTCTTCTCAAATGTAAACTCAATTAACTTTATGTTTGTTCGTTTATGTTCGTTACGTTCGTTTAATGTTTTAATGAATGAACATGAATGAAAACGAACAAGTTACATTCCTCAATGATTGAACACGAACAATAATATTTCTTTATTTAGTTGTTCATGTTCATTTATTTGTTCGATTAAAGTTAAACGAACGAACATAAACATACACTTATTCATGTCCGTTCAGTTCATTTACAGTTCTACCTTTTCCTGTCGATGATCAGAGTATCTTATGATCATTCATGAAAATTTAATGTTTATTAAAAAGTTTATGGGTAAATTATAAATTACATCCCTTAATTTTTTCACTTTTATTTTAATCATTAAAGATTAAAAGTTTTCAATTTACTCATTAAAATTTTAGTTTATTCTTGTTTTGGTCACTCGGATGTTAAATCATAAATGAAAGGATGACATGACCACTTGTGTTGATGTGAATTACTTCTTGTTGACATAGAATCTATATGACATCCATGTCATTTTTCCTTTTTTTTTTGTTTTATCTTCTTCCTCCTAAGATATAAACAAACTCGTCTCATTGCCTCTTACCATTCTATCAGTTTAGATTTCACCTAAGTCACTATGACACTCATAAAACTCAACCCAAAACTCATGAAACTTTAAACTACTTTGATTAATAAAATTCACCATTTGATTAGCGTAGAATCAATACATACAAATCACTTCCTCCTTCTTCACCTCCCTATTATTATTTAGAAGAAAATGCTTTATCATCAAGAAATCAAAGAAATTCAAAACTAGGGGTTTATTATAAAAATGAATAAAGTTTTGGGGAAATTTCATAATTTTTAAATGAAAAATATCTAGTTATATGTTAGTGACTAAACTAAGACTGCGAAGAAAATTCAGTGATGAAATTTGTAATTTACTCAATATTTAAATATAATAGTTATAAAAAAAAGGATAAAAGACACAAATAATCCTCGATTATATGATTTTTTTTAATCAGTCAATTGTAATATAAAATTAATTCAGTGATCCGTTTATGTTTAAAAATAATGATGATTCATTTATAACTTATTAATAATTGAGTAATATATTATATTTTATTATTTTTTAAAACATATTAATCTTTTTGGTAAACCATTTGTATGAACTCTTAATTATTATCTCTTTTTGCTTTGATAATCTATTTTGAAATTTTATCAATTAGACTATTTAACTATTTATGTGTGACAATCAAGTCCTCTATCGTTATCATTTAGCGTAGGAGGTGACACGACTATTAAAAAATTGGTATAATTACACATTTGGTCCTCAATATTTATACATTCTATCAATTTAGTTCAAATTTTAGTTCAACTAAATAAATTTAATCTCCCAATTAGATATTGACATGTGTCAGGTTACTTTTGTTCAGGTTACTTTCGATTTAGATTACTTTTTATTCAAGTTACTTTCGGTTCAAATTACTTTTGCTTCATGTTATTTTTGGTTCAAATTTGTATCAGTCCAATTAAAATTTGAGTTGGTTTCGGTTTAGATCGATTTCTACTTGGATTTTGGATCAAATTTGAGTTATCATTTTGGGTCTATATCAAATTAGCAAAATCGATTTGGATAATCAAATTTGTGGTTACAAATTTGATTATTACTTTTGATCTATTGATTGAATTATCAGCATCGAAAATGACTTGATCAAAATTAAAAATATTGGTTTATTGTTGGACTTCAAAACCATCAAAACTAATATCCTCATAGGTAACTGTTGGGACCGTCGGTGCACCCCATGGCGCAATAGAAATAAAACACGATGGTCTCACCAGCGATCCAAGTACGTTAAATCCAAAACCTAGAGGAAGGGATGTGATTACTTACATTGGGTTCCTTGTAAATCAGCAAAGACAACATCGACTATTGATGATCACGAATGTTTCGAATCCTAGTCTCCACGAAAAGTGTCTCAGCCTCTACTCAGTTCACTCGATTGAGAGCAACATTTAACTTTTCCCAAAAGCAGTTTTGAGAAAACAGCTGAAGATTAAGTACGGCTGCTAGACCTCACTTATCTTTAAATACCTGAGTTACCCTAACATATTAGCGTTTTGTTATTTCGAATTAATTAAACTCTTATTTAATTAATTCAAATTAAATATCCATTAAAGACTTATAATCCGAATTACGCTCTTTAATGTTTATTTAAACTCTTATTTAATTATTCCAAATTAAATATCAATTAAAAGAGTTGTAATCAGAATTATATTCTTTTAATGTTTACTTACTATATTCAGGATAATTAAAATCATATGTATATCAGATATACATATATTAACTCTAGATATATATTTCAGTAACGTACAACAAATATACATCTTTGCTAATTTCAAACCTAGGGTGTGACCTTGTAGTTTCTTGTAACATTGGTAGTAATTATTAGAACAATTCTAATATTACAAACAATGAGTGACATCTAGCAATATATCATTGTCATCTAAGTTACAAGAAATTGTGATTCAACATATTATCTTCGTGATTATCTCTTTTTATGTATTACATCATTTTGTCCTTTATATCTAGAATAGTCACAAGTCTTGGAATAGTCACACTTGTATAGCCTATCTATTGTTTCTTGATATCTAGAGTAGACTATAATTAACGAATAATTTGTGATATCAAGTGGTTTGTGATATATTTCCTATTATGTAGGAAGGACAAATCCTATCTTAATCATACACACTCCAATACATATACCAAGATATATTCAATAACAATCTTTATAGTGCAATCAGTTACAAATTAAGCATATTTAACTGTATCAAAACATACAACAACATATGTTGAGATAGTAATGATCTCAAGTATGAGGATCATACATATAGCCATCGCAATGAGCAATGTTGTGACCGTCACATAATAATCCAAGACATATGCTCATACTGGGTCAATCCAATACATTGTTCTCTAACAATATAATCATGTATCAATTCTGACATATGTTGTTGTATCAATTCAGTGATTAGTATCGAAAGTAGCTCGATCGAAACAATAATTATTCATTTATCAATGGGCGTCAAAGCCACAAAAAAATATTAATTTCTCGTTTTATCTATTGGTTTAGTGGTTACTGGTTACTATCGAAATAACAAATTTTCATTTATTGATGGACGTGAAACCACAAAAAATAAAGTTGTACGCTTAAAACAGAAATAAATTCAGTAGTAAAGAGAACTATGATCAAATCTACATTGGACTGAAAAATAATATTTTCGGGAATTTAGTATACAACATTTTATAATTAAAGAATTATTTTATAATTTTTTAATAGTTAAAAAAATCAATAAAACATCGTTTATTAAGATATTAAAGAAATAAAATTAAAATTACAGTACATATTATGATAGACCAAACTAATAATAAAAGAATTATCCTCCCAGTTAAGAT